CCTTTTGGGATTACCTGAAAGGGTCCCAAATATGAACCACAAAAAGGAACTACTATGGCGCCTATGGGTATCCAGTACCAGTATCGGGACTGTAAGGGGACACTATCCTTAATCCTGCAGAAACGCGAAAAACAAGCTGTTGGTCCAACTGCGGTGCCGTCCCCACCGGTTTCCTAGGGCCGGTCTCACCTTAGGGGATTGGCTTAGAAGTTGGCGGTAAGCACAATGTACTACCCATAGGCCCCTAAGTAGTTCCTTTTTATGGTTTATGTTTAGAATCCGATAAGGTAATCCCAAAACGGAGCCACTTAGGGGCCTATGGGTACCTCGTAGCTGCAACCAGGCCGTTGGGCGCGTTGACTAGTAAGTCGTTAACATCCTCTAAAAGCTCCGAAGAACAGTTTATCCCCCAACAAACTTGAATGCGTCGAGGGTTTAGGGAATTCAGGGGTGTAGGTTTCGGGTTTAGGTTTTAATTCGGGCTTAGGGCTTTGGGATTTACGGTGCGGGGCTTAATTAGGGCCGAAGTCCTGCAGCCCCGAGTCTCTTTGAAGCCAGGTGGCCGAGGTCCACCTTGCAGGCGAACATCGTCATCACCTCGGCGGTTTCTGGGCTCTTGTTGGGGGATTTAATTTTAAGTTACCATACTAGGGATCGACAGCAAATAATAATGGGGTTTCCTTAGTATGGTAACTTAAACTAAGGCCATTAACAAGAACGCACAGGTTGGGTGTCGGGATTTCCGTCGACCACTCGAAGCATGTCCTGCAAGCAGCGGACCTTGTCTGCCTCCTTCTTGGAGAGGCCGTGGCTCAGCTGGAGCTCCTTTTGGAAGGACTGAAACTTCTCACTACCTTTGAGGTTTTTTTAAGGTTTGGCGCTTTGTTTGGGGGGGGCTTTGGGATTTTGGGGGCCTAGGTTTAGAGGGTTTCAGGATGTCAGGAGGTCCAGAAGACCCCACCCAAGGGACCCCACTCTCCTTCCATCTTGGAGCGTCTGTAAATATAGGGCTTAGGGTTTAGGGTTTAGGGGTCTAGGGTTTAGGGATTTAGGGTTTCATGGTTTAGGGTTTAGCGTTCAGGGTATACTTCTTGACTTGTTTCAGACATAACCATGGCCATGGATAATTCTGCGTGGGCCCCATCGCTTACAGGGGTCTTGTGAAGTGCGCATATGAGTAAAGTAACAGTAGCAGTCCTTACATTGGTAATGGTTGTAGTCGTCGAATTATTATTATTATTGTTGTTGTTATTGTTATTGTTATTGTTATTGTTATTGTTATTATTATTGTTATCAATAGTAGTAATTCTAAAAATAACAACGATTCCAGAAGCTTGGTCAGTGGCTCACAGAATCTAGTGGGTCTCGTGACAGAATCTAGTGAGTTTAGCGGGTGCCTTACCAAATGACAGCTGAAGAGGGTTCATTTTTGAAATGTTTAAGGCTTAGGGTGCCCTAAACCCTAAACCCTGGAACTTAAGACCGAAGCTGATTGATAATCAGATAGAGCTGCAAGGCTGCTAAAGCTGTCGTCGGGTGTAGGCCATCAACATGTTTCGCACCGAAACCAAACCCTCAATATAGGGGCCTTAATCAGTCTTAACAATTAGAATAGGGTCCTCAGGCCCATTATACTATAACTAAAATAAAGACCCCCCCCCACAATAATATTGGTAATTATTTAGGCCCCTAAATTTTACAGTCAACCATGAACTCCACAGCTGAGACAGCTGTGCCATGACATGTCTCCTCAATGGCCACATCCCGGTCATCTTTGCCAAATATCCGCCTCACGGCGCTCACAACTCAAGAAGGGTTAAGGGGCACACGCATCCCACACGGACATGATGTTGATATTCTGCCGCATATGTCTCATAGGACTTGGTATGGTTCAGAGCTTATAAGGTTTAAGGTTGAGTCCTTCCGTGGAATTCTACTACAGTATTCTGTCGGCCCCCAAGCCACCGTAAACCCTGGAGCCGTTGAGGTCGTCACCTGCACGCAGTCCGTGCATCTGAATGCCTGATATACACCCTAAGTGGTAGGATCAAAATCATGCGGAACCCCACCAAAACAAAAACAGCAACGGAAGGAAAGGATCCTTCCCCATGTCATAAGGTATATACCCCAACAAAAAAGACAACAACACATACAAGGGGAAAGGTTCTCAATTATACTTTGCTGAAGAAACTTCTAAGCTCCTGGCCGGACGTTGTTTCGATCGTTGGTATTATCGATCCGGAGGTCCAGGATGTCCTGACCAGAGAGTCGCACATCAATGCATAGGTGTGGGGTTTGGGGCTTCGGTGCTTAGGGTTTGACTTAGACTCAGACCCTATAAGGGCTAAGCTCCGAAAGCTAAGCTTGGATTCAGGGAGTTTAGGGCCTAACCTTTCAGCTTTATCTCTTTGCTAGGCAGCTAGCATTCGAGAGGAGGAGGTTGGGTTTACGGCTTTAAGGAATGCGCTGTGCCAATAGCTTCTGCTTAAGCCGGCAAGAGCTAGTAGCGCGTTTACAAGACCCTGCAATGGCCAACAAGTCAAACACATGTAGAGTGGTGCTTTCCCCAAGGTTGGTTGCAGCTCACATAAACACATACAAACATTCATGGTCCGAGTCCTTGTTATAAGCATCCTTATATATGTGAGGCACCCCAAATGTCAAGAGACACCTGCCGCCCCATGCAAGCAAGATACAACAGCAGCTACTGCACGGGCCCTAATAATTGGAATAATTAAGGTTCTGGGGCCAAATATACTATAGTTATGATAAGGAAATCCCAAAATAGTATTGGTAATCATTTAGGCCCCTGCGGTAAACCCCGAACGTTTCTGCCCATGCAGCCGCCTTGATTTCTTGCTTCGTCCGGTGAAGCTTCTCCACCAGGGCCTGGCGTAGTAAAGCGAGCAAATAACTCGCTACATTTTTTTCTGCAGTGCATTGTCCCTCTTCTCCGCACAAGACACAATCATTTCGAGGGTGCACTGTGAGTGGCAGCTACGGTTTAGCATTTCGGGTAGTGTGCATGTTTTGTTGAGCTCCTTTTTTGCCACTGCATAGGGTTTAGGATAGAAGCTTTAGGCTTCATAAGACCCTAAACCCTAAACCCGAGGGTTTAGGGTGCACCAGACTATCTCGAATCCATCTCGGAGCCAATCTGTTGCAAGGAGTACAGCAATGTCGCTTATAAGGGTCTAGGGTTGGCGTAACCTGGAATGCACAACCCTTAACATGGGCTGCTTTCCAACTGCAGAGTGCCTTTCCAAACCTTCCCAAACTCTAAACTCCAAGCCCCACAAGCCCAAAATCTCAAAACCCTAAACCCCTAGACCCCTAAACCCCTAAACCTTAAACCCCAAAACCCAAAACCCTAAACCCCGCACACCCAAGTCCCTCTTCAGACGTGGCCTTCATGCGCCCCTTGGAGGCCCTTTCTTCCAGCTTCACGCCGCAGTAGAACTCGTGGACGAAGCGCCTGGGGTTTAGGGTTTAGGGAAGCTTACTGGTTCCCTGTTGGGGCTATATTAAGAATGTTCATGTTTAATCCCTATTGGGTTTGTAATATAGCAAAAATGTAAAAGTGTAGCCAACAAGGATCTAGCTTAGGGTTTGGGACTTTTGGACTTCGGGACTGGAGTTCGGGGTGATGCGGCTTAGGGTTTTGGGTTCAGGGTGACAGTTGTGGGGCATTGGGGGGGGGGTATTAGAGTTATAGAGGTTTAGAAGTTTAGGATTTACGTTGGGGTTTCGGTGACATTTGCAGGGCATCTGAAACATGCGGGGCTTTCGGGTCAACTTTGAAGGGAGTTTGGGGGAGGGGGTGTAGGTTTAGACCCTCCGCAGTTGAACTTCTTCAAAGCTCGGTGGTAAGCTTAAGGCAGGTTGGGACTAGGGTTCAGGGTATACAAAGCTTCACTAGGATTTTATGGGACCGTGGACCGGAACTACTTGTCAGCACAACCACAAACTCCAAAGCCTCCTAACCTGCTGCAAGAAAACGTGACCAAGAAGAGGTGCTGCACCCCATGTGCAAATCAGGACAGGCCACTTTGGCGTGATACTAGTGCTTTAGGAGGTTTAGCGTTTATAATACAATCCCCCTAAATCCTAAACCCCTAAACCCCTAAACCCCTAAAGCCCTAAACCCCTAAAGCCCTAAAGCCCTAAAGCCCTAAACCCCTCGACCCCTAAAGCCCTAAACCCCTAAAGCCCTAAACCATAAACCCCTAAACCCGTAAACCCACAAACCCCAAACCCCTAAACCCGTAAACCCCCAAACCCTAAACCCCTAAAGCCCTAAACCCCTGAAGCCCAGCCCAGCAACCATCAAAGTGCTGAACCCTGCACAGGCCCCGGCCCTCGTCTGATTCAAGGAACTCCAAAAGCGCAAGGAGAGACCCTTAAAGGGACCCTTGAGGTTATAGAGGGGACTTATGAGACTGTATAAGGGGGTATATAAGGGTTATATAGGGTAAACCCTACCTCGACCCTGGATTGTATAGCACAGCTTCTGAATTTAGGGTTTAGGGTTTAGGGGTTTAGGGGTTTAGGGTTTAGGGTTTTCATTATCATACTTTTAACCATGAAGTTATGTAATTACGAAGTATGTTATCAAGAAAAAGCTGCCACATCGGTAAAGCCCGATTCACCCAATGAGGATAGGCGAACTGGCCTCGCCCTTGCAAACATCACTTCCTTCCGGCGGAGCGCTCGCGTGGATGTTAAGATTACAGAGGGTTTGGGCGAAAGGTCCATGGCTTGGGGTTGAAGGTGGGCTCAAGGGTGAGAGAGCGTGGAAGGTTGCGGGTGAAGGATGTAAGGCTTAGGGTCAAGGCGGAGGATGAACTTTCATGGTTTTGGACTTACGGTGCAGGGTTCCGCGGCCCAAAGCCCTAAACGAGGCCGAATCGTTCAGGTCCCCTCTTATTGCATCAACCGTGGGTGCCCGTGAGGCTTGGATCCAACAGGTAACTTCGGGTCTAAGCAGGTGCAACGAAGCTTTGTCATGACCAGCTATCAGTCTCATCATAGTGGGGCAATAGTACGACGAACCATTCACACCACAACAAACAAATGCATATGGAGCCCTGTAGAAAATGCAAATAACAAACTGATGGCCGAAGCAACTCTAAGCAACATCCGCTAGAAACCCATCCTAACAGACAGATAGCTATAGCTAGCTCCAACCAGAAACCCAACACCCTAAAGCTGTAAGAACCCTCAACTCCAAGCCCAAACCCCTTGACCGTGAATTCTACATACCCCTGAGCCCCAAGGCTACAAGAAGCCTATAAAAACCCTAGAGACCCTAAACCCCTCAACCCGCCTAAACCCTATAAGAACCCCACAGCAGCCTTTGACCCTAGCCTACACCCGCCTAAACCCTGTAAGAACCCTACAGCAGCTTTGTTAAGCCCTAAACCCTAAGCCCTAAACTCCTAAACCCTAAACTCCTAAGCCCTAAACCCTAAACTCCTAAACCCCTTCAAGCCCTAAAGGATCCCTTAAACTTCAAAAAAATGGGAGCCCCTTGAACCCTAAACTTCTAAACTGTGAGCCAACCTAAACCCTGTAAATCCTAAGCCCTAAACCCCAAACCCCTAATCCCTACACCCCAAACCCTAAGCCCTAAACCCCTGAGAAACCCTAAACCCTAAGCCCTAAACTAAACTCCCCACCTGTAGGAAACTACCCCCTAAACTCCCAAAAAGCCCTAAACTCCGCTCCTCCGGCTCCCGGACCAAAACGTCAGCGTAGCGGCTGAAGACCTGGGATTTCTTAGAGAAGGAGCCCTTCCAGTTCTATAGGGTTTAGGGTTTATAGGGTTAAAGGATCCCTTTAAGGAACCCTTTAAGGAACCCTTTAAGGAACCCTTAAGGGAGCCCTTAAAGGAACCCTTCAAGGAATCTAGGGAAACCTTCAAGTTTTAGGGTTTAGGGTTAAAGGAGCAATTCTAGGGTTTAGGGTTTAGGGTTAAAGGAGCCCTTCCTCTTCACCCTTTAAAGGGTTCCTTTAAGGGCTCCTATAACCCTAAACCCTATAGAACTGAAATGGTTCCTTTCAGGGCTCCTCCTGTCCTAACCCCCCAGGTACCTACTATATAGGGTACTAGATCCCCTAGTATCCTATATAGTAGGTACCTGGGGGATTCTTACAGAAGGAGCCTTGAAAAGGAGCCCTTCAAGTTCTATAGGGTTTAGGGTTATAGGGTTATAGGATTCTAGGGTTGTAGGGTTTAGGGTTTAGGTACGTAGGAGCCCTGAAAGGAGCCCTTCCAGTTCTAGGGCTTGGGGTTTAAGGAACCCTTAAAGGAGTCCTTGAAGGAACCCTTCCAGTTTTAGGGTCGGGGTTCAAGGAACCCTTTAAGGAAGGAGCCCTGAAAAGAATCCTTCCAGTTCTAGGGCTTAGGGTTAAAGGAGCCCTTGAAGGAACCTTTAAAAGAACCCTTAAGGGAGCCCTTTAAGGAACCCTTAAAGGAACTCTTAACGGAGCCCTTTAAGGACCCCTTGAAGGAGCCCTTAAAGGAGCCCGAATTGTTAAGGTCTCGTTATAAGAGTCGTTTGTTTTCTTGGAGGCGTCATCTCCGGCTTTATGACCGCCGGAGGTTTAGGATGTATAGGTCACCACAAACAAGTTTATGGGCTTGAAATTAAGGCTATTGCTTTAGAAGGGGTTCGCAGGAAGTTAGGATGTTCGAAGGACGAATCCTTAATCTGCGAAGCGGCCTTGATCGGCCTTGGTAGGAGAGAAAGAACATAGCTTAACTGCGGCATCTGGCTACTATACACC